CAAGGAAAAGCTCCAGAAGGGCTTAAAAATAATCCCTTCCCTCCCTTCCCGGCTCCTCTTGGTTTCCTGGGAAGCACCACTTTGCTGTGGCAGGAGAAGGAGCACTGGGAGCCACCTGGATCTCACATTTCCCCCGGGAAATGCTGGCATTTCTAAATTAATCACAGCATTCCCAAAGAACTGACCTACTTTGCTTGGCCCCCAGGGATTCCCTGCATCCCAGCTCTGGAATAACCCCCTTGCCAGTGGGAGTGGGAAGGCACAGGCTGGGATTCCATGGAAAAGTGTTGCTCAGCTGCCCCCAAAGTCCCCAGGGAGAGCTCCACAACCTCCCAGAATGAAGGTCCAGGCATCTCCAGAGGTTTCCTCAAGGAGAATCCCTCCAATCCCGCCGATCCCAGCATGTTTGGACACAATGGAGGTACTGGAAGTTCAGTTCCAGAGCAGGGATTTGCTCTGAGGGAGCCCTAAAAATATCCCAGAAGTTGATCAAATACCCACTCCACGGTTGTCCCAGTCCCCCTAAAGGGACAGAATTCCAAGTGGAGCTGCTGGGAGGGCAGGACTTCGGGAGCAGGACTTTGGGAGCAGGATTTTGGGAGTGGGACTTTGGGAGCAGCCCCACAGGGGGGCAAGGGCAGCGTTTTGGGTTGAAAAGGAGCCTTTTCCTTGCAAGGCCACCCAGCCAGAAGCCTTTCTGCAGCCTGAAGGGCTGTGGGGCAGCCATAACATTCCAAGCTGGCCATCCTGCTCTTTCCAGGCTGGATTTGATGGAATTCTTACCCTCCTCTATTCCCAAAACCCACCTGGGCTTTCCATTCCTACCCAACGGGGCAGGACAAAGCTGCTCCTCCCACCCACCCAAAAATCAGGAGCTGCTTCTTTTGTAGGAGAAGGGAAACAGGAAAAAAACTCATGGAAAACCCTACAGAATCCATGGAAACACTTCCAAAATCATGGAAGAGCCTTTGCTTTCCATGGCAAGACACAGGACAGACACTGAGCCTGAACGGAGCCGCTTCCAGAGGCAAGGGACAAGGACATTCCCTGTCCCACCACAGAAGATTCCAGAGCTCTCCCACCAAACCAGGGCCATTCCATGCTCCCTCCACTCCCCTCTGCTCCTCCCCTGGCGTTTGGGAGACTCTGGATGAGCCCCAAATCCCAGGGAACACAGGGAACCACCCTCTCCCTGAAGCAGAGCCCGTGCTGGGCTGTGGCACCTCCCAGCCCCTTCTCCAGGGATATCCCCAATGGAATCAGCGGATCCTGCCGGGCAGGGAAACCCTGGGATCAGGTGAGCCTCTTCCAGGACTTTGCTCCTCGAGCCAATCTCTCAATCCCAACCCAAACATCCCACCCCTGGAAGTGTTCCAGGCCACGCTGGAGCAGCCTGGGGCAGTGGAAGGTTGGAAAGGAGCTTTAAGGTCCCTTCCAACCCAAACCATTCCAGGATTCCAGGATTCTGTGAAACCACGCGCACAATTCCTGATTTCTCAAACTCTTCCCTGCCATTTTCCACCTCCTCAACCCAAAATTTCCCGAGCCAGCTGAAGTTCAACTCCAAAACCACAGACGAGGTGCCAGACTCAGGAGGAGACGCCCATGGAAAAGCTCCTTCCCTTTGGAATTTGCAGGGAGCTTTCTTTCCAAGGGCCTCATTCCCATGCACTTCATCACCTCCAGCATTCCCACCTGGACATTCCCATTTCCAACCCCGCCCGGGAGCGTCCCGTGGTTTGGGAGGGAATTCTGTGGGATCACCGCTACGTTTCCCGGCCTTGCTCGTTGTTTCAGTGCCCAGATCTCACTGGGGAGCATCAGAGAATCCCAAAACGGCAACAGTGGGAAAGGGGAACATCCTCTGCCACCTCAGGGCCGCTCACAAAGCTCAGGGATGACTCAACTCCCTTTGAATCCGGCAGGAACCGGCTCGGAAAGATCCGACTGCGGCTCCGACGGGAAAATTCCATCCTCAAACCCCCAAAGAGCCCCTCAAAGGAACTCCACGAGAAGACTCCTTTTCATCTTCCAGCTCAATTAAAAGTCCAGGGAAACGGAGCCAATTTACTGGAACCTCCGAGAAATCCAGCTCATTATTCCCTTTCCCAGGGAAATGAGATCCGGAACAGCAAAAAGGGGAGAAGAGCCCCAAAAATGAGGGAAAAAGCCCCAAAAATGAGGGGAAAAGCCCCAAAGCAGCAGCTGGAGCATCCCCTGCTCCTGCTCCTGTGGGATCACAGCCCTAAAATGCTACTTGGGGGTATTTTTCCCACATTTTTCCTGAAGCTGCCACCCCAAAATGCTTCAATTATTCCCTATAAAATCAAGCCCTCCCGACCTGGGAGAGCACAAAGCCATTCCAGGAGCTGGGAAAGCCAAAATGATCGTGGAAGTCCCGCCCTCTCTTTGTGAAAAGCTCCGAAAAACCCCCTGGATCAGCAGAATTCCTCTGACCTTGGCTTCATTTATTGATTCCCAACGGTATTCCAAGGGTCACTGGGGGGGAATGAAGCTTTTCCCTGGACAGTTTTATCCAGGAGAACTTCCTGGGACAAGAAAGGGCCAAAAAACCCCCCTAATTATGGGATTTCTCCCTGTTTTCCACAGGTGTGTGCTCTGGAAGGAGCTGAGTCCATCCAGTCCTGGAATGTTCTCCTCATCCCAGCCCTCACTCAGCTCTTCCCAGAATTGGTTGTTATTTGGATTCTCCCCTTTCCTGGCAGGAAAAATTGGTATTATTGGAGTTTTTTCCCTGCCTGGCAGGAGGATCATCAGGTTTTCCCCTCTTCCTGCTCTTCCAGAGGCAGAGAATTCCAAAAAAAAACCACATACAGGCCACGTCTTGGAATTAAATCCCGTTCAGGACTCCCTGATCCCACAGAGAATTCCCAGAGCACCCAAACAAATCCATCCAGCTGTTCCAGCAGCCACAGCCTCACCTGGGCCCTTCCCACAGACAGCTGGAATCACCCTGCACCCTCCAGAGGCACCTGGAAAACTCCTGCTCTCCCAGAGGGAAGCTCCAAGGCTCGGTCTGACACCCCTGGAGCTCCCAGCGGGAAATGAGGGACCAGGACAACATTCCAAGGAACATCCTGAGCCTGGGAGAGCCTCCAGGTGGGATCCCTGAGGCCTCAGTGAGACACAAATCCATGGAAAGCAGCGGGATTGGAGCAGCCTGGGAACAGGGAAGGCTCACGACCCTTCCCACCTGAACCATTCCAGGATTATCCCAGGAACACCCCATTCCAGGGCTGAGAGCCCCTGGAACAGCACACACCGGGATCTCCCAGGACTGGGAGCCCTCCAGGATCCCCACTGACTGCCCCTGGAGTTTGGATCCCCCTGGATTGGGGGTTTTCCAGGCTGGGAGTGTCCCGGGTGTTCCTCAGCACCACAGCCGGCATTCCCACATCCCAGGGCCCCTATTCCCACATCCAACAGTTCGGATTCCTGCACCCCACATCCCATATTCCCACAGCCCCTATTCCATGCCCGGCATTCCCAGCCCCTATTCCATGGCCAGCATTCCCAGCCCCTATTCCCATGGCCATCATTCCCAGCCCCTATTCCATGGCCATCATTCCCAGCCCCTATTCCCATGGCCATCATTCCCAGCCCCTATTCCATGGCCATCATTCCAAGCCCCTATTCCCATGGCCATCATTCCCAGCCCCTATTCCCTGGCCATCATTCCCAGCCCCTATTCCCATGCCCGGCTCTCACACCAGCCCAGCCCAGCCCAGCCCCTCCCTGCGGTCCCCCCCGCTCCGGGCGCGCCGCGGGGCGTGTCCCGGTCGGTGTATCCCTGTGTATCCCGGTTATCCCGGTGTATCCCGGTTATCCCGCTCCGTACCTGCCGGGCCTGTCGTGCCCCGGAACCCCCGCGCGTGGGGCAGGGATGGAGGGGGGGGTGCGCACGGAGGGGCCGCGCCGGGCCCCGCCCCCTGAGGGACGGCAGCCAATGGGAGCGCGTGGTGGGTGGCGCGCGCGCGGGGCGGCGGCCAATGGGAGCGCGCGGCGCCGCCGCCGTTACCGCCAGAGCGGCGCCGGGCGGGGCCGGGCCCGGCAGGGAGGAGGCAGCGCCACCGGGACACAGCGGGAACACAGCGGGGCCGCTCCCGCCGCCGCCTCCCCCCGCCCCTCGAGGCTGTTCCCCCGCTCTCCGCCTCCCCCCGGCCCCGCCGGGGTGAAGGGGAGGGGGCGGGCGCGGCCCCGGCGGCGGCCAATGGGGAGCGCGGGCGGAGGGGGCGGGGCTTTGGGGAAGGGCGCGCTCCCATTGGCTGCGCGCGGCCCCGCCCGCGCCGCGGTCACGTGGGCGGCGCGGAGGGTCCGCGTGCCCCGGGAGGGTTAATTAACGATAATTAACGATAATTAGCGGGGCTCGGGAGCCAAAGCGCGGCGGGGGGGCTGGGGGCACCGCGAGGTGCCGCGGGGAGGGGGGGGTGTGCCCGGCCAGGAGCCGCCCCGGACCGGAGGGCGGGGCCAGAGGGAATGTCGGGAAAATTCCCGTGTGGAAAAAGGGGCTGGAACAACCTGCCCGGGGACAGGGGGGATCCCCAGCACTGGGATGTGGCACCTGGGGACACGGCCGGGGCTGGGCTCGGTGATCCCCGAGGGTTTTTCCAGCCCCAGCCATTCCATGAGTCCAAAGGGTTCCCGAAGGACGCGGGCGATGAAACGATCCCGCGTGAACACCCGGTTATCCGTGATTTACTGGGGACAGGGGATGGAGGGACAGCACACGAGATGGGAGAGTGGGAAGGAATTCCTGGCTGGGAGGGTAGGGACGGGCTGGGATGGAATTCCCAGAGAAACAGGGCAGTGACCCAGGACCCATCCCCTCCATCCCACCGTGGGTGCTCCAGCACACCCCTCTCCACATCCCCCGTGACTCCAGGATCCCATCCCACATCCCCGAGGCCCATCCCATGTGCATCCCCTGTTCCCAGCCCCGCTCCCGGAGCCATCCCTGGGCAGGGCAGGAGGGCCCTGGCTCAGAAGTTCTCCCGGGAGAAGCGGAAGCCGAAGCGCTCGCAGTGCCCCCGGATGACCTTGGCCAGGGCTGGGGAGCCGCAGAAGAACACCTGGACCTTCCCCACCTGCTCCTGGGCCACCTTCCCGAACACCTGGAGCACGGGGGGCAGGGGGAGAGGGGGGGCTGGCTGGATCCAGGGGATTGGGGGCTGGATTAGGGCATCCCTCCCAACCCATTCCATGATTTATGATCCTGGGATGGGTTGATGGGGTTGGAATGGGATGATCTTTAAGGTCCCTTCCAACCCATTCCCTGGTTCTCTGATGCCTGGGCTGGATTAGGGGGTTGGAATCTTTAAGAACCTATTCATTCCTAATTCCTGATCCCTGCCTCAGGCTCCCCGTGCCCCCCCGGGGCATTCCCTGTCCTGGATCTGGATGTGGCAGCGCACCCAAAGGGGCTGTCCCTGGTGCCCTCCATCCCCCAGGACAGTTTTGGGACGTGTCCCCCACCCCCAGGACAGTTTTGGGACATGTCCCCCACCCCCAGGACAGTTCTGGGACGTGTCCCCCACCCCCAGGACAGTTTTGGGACGTGTCCCCCACCCCCAGGACAGTTCTGGGACGTGTCCCCCATCCCCCAGGACAGTTTTGGGACGTGTCCCCCACCCCCAGGACAGTTTTGGGCCGTGTCCCCGCGCCCACCTTGCCCCAGTCGGGCCGGCCGGGCTGTGTCCGGGTGCGCAGCCCGGTGATGGAATCCCGCTTTTCCTTGGCCGCCAGGAGATCCAGCGCCACCTGCAGCCCCAGGGCCTTCACGTCGCTCCCCGCCAGGGCCGACGTCATGTACAGGTGGAGCTCCAAAAACCGCCCTGGGGGGGCCAGGGCAGCCCGGCTGGCACCGCCACCCCGACCCCGCCGTGCCACGCGGGATATCCCGGGAATGCTGGCCCTGCCTCCCGCTCACCTCCCGCCTCCAGCTCCGCCTGCTCCATCTCCAGCTTGCTCAGGAGGCTGAGGAACCACTCGAAGTGCTTCTGGTCCCGGTTTATCCAGATGAAATCCACCTGCAAGGGCAGGGCAGCCTCTGCTCCGGAGGGGGAATCCAGCCCCCACGCCCGAACCTCCTGGGTGGGAGGGATGCCCGTGGGCTCTGCCCCACCCCAGGATCCCACATCCCCTTCCATTCCCACCTTCCTGAGGGTCATGTCCTGGTCCCGCAGCTCCTCACACCAGGAATGGTGGCAGCTGGGGCAGCTCTGCCTCCGCCGGCGGTACCTGCACACATGGATACAGCCCTTCCTGCCCCTTCCTGCTCCCTCCTGCCCTTCCCTGCTCCTCCTGCCCTTCCCTGCCCCTCCTGCCCTTCCCTGCTCCTCCCTGCCCTTCCCTGCCCCAGGGTGTCCCTTCCTGTCCCTTCCTGTCCCCCTCAGTCCCTTCCAGGACCCCAAGCACCCGTCCCTCACCCCCTCTGGTGCCTGTCCATGGCCAACCTCCCTCCAGCAGGCTTCCTGCAGCCAAAATCCCCAGGGAAAAGCCTGGCACTGAGGGAGGACCCCCCTGGGGCTCTGGGAACCGAGGTTGGAGGCGAGCAGGACCCCAGGGGGTGTTGAAGGCCAGGTCTCCCTGGGTGAGCATCACCTGGTGCTTCCCAAATCCAGCCAGGGCCATTCTGGGAGGTTCCCAGCTCTCCAGGGGCACCCTGAGCTGCAGGGACACCCACCTGTACATGATGCTCTGCAGGATGGAGGCGAAGGGGGTGATCCCGATGCCGGCCCCGATGAGCACGGCGTGTTCCGCCAGGAAGATCCGGCGCGTCGGGGTCCCGTAGGGCCCGTCCAGGAAGCACTGGAGAGAGAAACCCAGGGATCACGGGGATCCTGGGGGCTGGAACAACTCCCAGGCTGAGGGGAAGGGCAGGGACAGAGCACAGAGAGCATTGCAGGGGGAGTTTGATGGGAGCTCACCTTGACGCTGCAGAGCCGCTGGGTCTGACCCTGCCCGGACGAGCCCTGTGAGGAGCAGAGAGCAGAGACACCCCCTGAACCTGCCCAGCCCCTCCTGACCTGCCTGCTCCTGGGATTGGGGCTTTTCCCAGCTGGGTTATCCAGCTGCACAGCCCCAGCCCTCAGTCAGACCCAGGCCAAGCCTGTGCTCCTGGGGGACATCCCATCGACACCCACCCGCAGGGATCTGTCACCCGAGGACGCTGTCTGGATCAGAATGGGTTTGATCTTGAATAAAAAGGGAATTATCCCGATTACCATGTGAGTTTGGGGGGAATGAGGGCTTTGGAGTGACTGGGCTGGTTTCTCCAGGTTGCTCCTGGCTGTGGATGGGGCAGAGCCCCCTCCCTGCCCCGGGCTGGGCTCGGTGCTCACCCCGCTCTCCGGGTCCTGTGCCGGGGCAGCGGCTCTGAACGCCGTCAGCTGCACAGATCCATCCCTGCCAGAGGCCACCGAGCCTCTGCCCCAGCCCTCCTGGAAAACAAAGGGCAGGAATCACTGCTGGGACGCTCCCAGGGGGCTGTGTCCCTCCAGGAGGGTCAGCAGGGCGGTGGGGCACAGAATCCCCCAGGGCTGGGCAAGCTCTGTGCAGGGAATGTGCATCCCAAGGGATAACCCAGCACCCATCCCAGTGACTGGGGTGATCCCAGGGGATCCTCTCCACATCCAGCCCAGAGCTGTGTGTGCTGCTTTGCTGTGTTTGCCCAGAGCTGATCCCAGTGCCACCCACCTGTGCCCAGCTCGGGCTCCTCCCAGGCTGTTCCTGCTCCGGGCTGGGTGATTCCAGCTGCTGGAAGTACTCGTACAGCCTGTTGGTCCACTGGCCCAGAGACCTGATGTGCAGCCAGAGGGTCTCTGTGGGATGGAACAGAGAAGAGGGTGCTCAAAATCTTGGAATTCTTTGGGTTGGAAGGGACCTTAAAGCCCATCCTGTCCCACCCCCTGCCATGGGCAGGGACACCTTCCACTGGACCAGGTTACTCCAGGCTGGCAAAACATCACCCTGGTGATGCAAAACATCGTCCCAGGGATGGGAAACTGGGAGGGCTGTGCTCCCACCTGGCTGCTCAGGGGCGCTGCTGATGGAGAAGGGGTGCCACTCGTAGGAGGCGATGGCTGGCACGTTCAGGTACACGTAGTCCCCGGGCTTGAAGTGGAAAGACGGAGGTCTCTGGATCACCAGGTGAGTCACCTGGAGCAGGAGGGGAGCAGGAAAGCTGGAGCATCCAGAGGACACCGGCTGGACTCCCCAGGGGGTGTTCCTGCAGCTGGACCCCTGGGTTGCCTCTCCCAGTTTCAGCAGTGGCTGACAAGACATGGACCCCTGGATCTAAAAGGGGGTTTATTCCCCTGATCTCTGCCCACTTTGTATTGAACAGTCCCAGGTCAGGCTGGACTCAAACAGGCTTTTTGGGAAAACTAAGAGTCTGGGCAGTTTTCATTTGGGCTCCAGTTGTTCCACAACTTTGGGTATTTTTGGACTTGAAAAATCAGCAAAGATTCTCAATTAAATAAACAACAGCTTGAAAATGAAGAAATCTCTTTCACCTCTCCCTGCAAACCTAAACCACCCAAACCCCCAGTTTTCCATGGAAACTACTGGTTTATTCCATCATTCCCTCTCTCCCCAGAGGAGCTCTGGGGGCTCTGGGTGCACACCTTGGAGGGGAGCAGATTGACCTCCACGATGTGCAGCCCCCCTGCCCGGCGCCAGGCCCAGCCCAGAACCTTCTCCAGCACAAACAGGGAGCCAGGAACCACGAACCACTTCCAGAAGTGGGGACCATGGAGGATGAGGAGGGTCCAGACGGAGATGTAGGAGAGGTGGGTCCAGTAGAAAACCTGTGGGAAAGGAATGGGGGCACGGGGAATGTGAGTGGAACGTGGTGGAGCCAAACAGTGCCTCTTGGTGAGGCTGTGCCAGGGCATCCCAGGGGGAAAAGGCAAATGAATCATGGAATGTTCTGTGTGGGAAGGGAGCTTAAACATTATCCAGGTCCTGGATGGGCAGGGACACATTCCACCAGCACAGGTTGCTCCAAGCCCCATCCAGCCTGGCCTTGGACACTTCCAGGGATCCAGGGGCAGCCACAGCTTCTCTGGGCAACCTGTGCCAGGGCCTGCCCACCCTCACAGGGAAGGATTCCTTCCCAATATCCCATCCAACCCTGCCCTCCGCCAGTGGGAAGCCATTCCCTGTTCTCCCACCTCCCCTCTTGTCCCATCAGGGGAGAAAAGCCCAGAAACCCCCAAACTGCAAATCTGGGCAGCGTCCAGGGGGTGTTGAGGGCACCGCACCAGCCCAGCTCTCCCTCCCCCGTGGGCACCTCCCAGGGCCCCTCCCTGGTGCCCCCACCCCCGCGGGGTCCCGGGCACCCCTGGGGTATTCCCGTGTCCCACCTCGAAGTGGCCGCGGCGCCGGACGCAGGGGCTGGAGAAGGTGCCCATGGCGAGGAGCAGCGCCAGCAGCGCCAGCCCGGTCTGGGGGGCTGTGCCGGCCACGCCGCCCCCCCCGGGCCGCGCCCACAGCAGCGACTCGGACAGGGCAGGGCCCCCGTCCCGCTGTGCCAGCCGGGCTGGGGGCACACACACACACACTAACACCAGTTTCGCCCGGACACGGCGGAAATGCCCCGTTCCCCCTCTCCTGACCCCGTCCCCTTTGGCACCAGGGCATCCTGTGCAGGGGGATCGTGCAGGACGGTGGGCAGGGGGGGCAGAGCTGCCCCCCTGAGGGGGTGGGCAGCCCCGGCACCCACGGCGGGCACGGGGGGCTGGGGGTGACGGGATGAGGGGTGCAGGGCTTTGGGGTGCAGGGCTTTGGGGTGCAGGGCTGTGGGTGCCAGACTCCAGCCGGGAGCAGCGGGAGCCCTTTGGCTGCCGGGCTGGGAACCACTAGAGGGGGATCACAGACTGTGCCGCGCCCGCGGCTGCAGCTCCTGCCCACACCCTGCCCACACCCTGCCCGCGCCCTCGCAGCCCCCCTCGGCGTGGGCACCCCCTCTCCAGGGCTGGCATCCCCCTCCTGGGACACGAGCATTCCCCCGGGACACCGCCTGCCCTGGGATAGCCACACCCCTCCAGGACACGGGCATCCCCCCCCGAACACAAGCCTTCCTTCCCTGGGACGTCTGCATCCCTCTGGGACATCTGCATCCCCCCCAACATGAGCATCCCCCGGGACATTTACATCCCCTCTCTGGGATACCTGCAATCCCCCCGGACAGGAGCACCCCGAGCCCCCCTCCGTGGCCGAGGTGCCCGCCCCGCAGCGCTGGCACTCACCGAGGTTGGCGATGTGTGCCGCGCTGTGAGCCGCCCCCAGGGCCAGCACCACGCACCCCACGAGCTGGTGGCACTGCACGTGCTGGTCCAGGGGCAGCGCCTCGGCCACGGCGGTGGAGCGGAGCCAGGACAGGCAGCGCCGCAGCATCGGCACCTCCGGGGCGGGGGGCAAAGGGAGGGAGGGGTGTTGGGGGCACGTGGAGATACGAGGGGGGGGCAAAGAGAGGTGCCAGGGGAAAATTGGGCACCCCGGGGGCGCTTGGAGATGATGGGGGCAATGGGAGATGCTGGGAGGCACTCGGGGATAGCAGGGGGCAGTGGGAGATGTTTGGGGTAATTGGAGATGCCAGAGGGTAAGGGGAGATATTTGGGGTAATTGGAGATGCCAGGGGCAGTTGGAAGTGGTGGAGGCAATTGGAAATATTGGGGGGCAGCGGGAGATGCTGGAGTTGCGGGAGATGCCAGGGGCCAAGGGGAGGGGCTGGAGGCGATGGGAGACGCGAGGGGCAGATGGAGATGCGGGGGGGCGACTGGAAATGTTGGGGACAACATTCCTCCCGGACCCCCAGCAGACCCCCACCCCTCTGGGGTCCCTCAGCCCTCCCGTGCCCCGCACTCACAGCCAGGAGGGCGCAGTCGAGGTTGAGCCCCTGCCCGCAGCCCCGGGCCACCATGAGCGCGGGGCCGAGCCCGCGGTGCCGCAGGGCCGCCAGGGCGAAGAGCAGCAGGTTGAGGGCGGTGAAGCCCCCCAGGCAGCCCAGCTGGCCCCGGTGGTTGTGCCAGTAGCCCCGGGACAGGCAGCGCGGGCGGGGCCGCTCCGGGGGCACCGGGGGCTTCAGCCAACTGGCGGCACTGGGAGAACGGGAGCGGAGCTGCCTTCCCGGGAAGGGGGAGCTGGGCAGGCGTGTGCCAGGGCTGGCACCAGCGCGGGGGGGCTCCTGCACCCACCCCAGCACCTATCCCTGCATCCCAGCCCAGCATCCAGTGTGGCATCAGCCCTGCATCCGAGACCAGCACCCAGCCTGGCATTATCCCAGCACCCATCCCAGCATCCATCCCAACATCCAAACCCCCATCCCTGCACCCATCCCAACATCCATCCCAACACCATTCCTGCACCCATCCCAACATCCAAACCCCCATCCCTGCACCCATCCCAACATCCAAACCCCCATCCCAGCACCCATCCCAACATCCAAACCCCCATCCCAACACCATCCCTGCACCCAAGCCCAAGGCTCCCAAGTCTCTCCCAGTGCCAGCCAAGCCCTGCCCAGTGTGGGCACCCCCAAGAGCCTCGACAGGAGCACAGATCCCCAGGCAGGAGGAAAAAGGTGCTCCCGGGGGTGAATCCCAGCCAGAGGGTCCCACCTGATGGTCAGGTTCTCCATGAGCTCTGGGAAGGCCTCCAGCTGCTCCCGGAGCTCGGGGAAGGTGATGGAGCCGCTGTGGTCCCTGTCAGCCGCCTCCAGCAGGGCCCTGGTGAGGTCCCCCAGGCGCTCCTCGGGCAGGGACACGGAGCTCTCCCGCAGGCACCAGCGCAGCACCAGCTGCAGCTCGTCCGCCTCGATGGAGCCGCTGCCTGGGGAGGCAGGGTGGACACTGGGGAAAATTCCTTCATGGGAAGGGTGGTCGGGCGTTGGAGTCCCCATCCCTGGAGGGGTTTAAAAGCCCTGTGGATGTGGCACTTGGGGACACGGTTAGTGGTGGCCTTGGCCGTGCTGGGGGAGCTTGGACTCAATCTCAGCGGGCTTTTCCAACCTCACTGATCCTACAGGTCCATGAACCTGGGATGGGGAGGTGGTGTGTGAGCAGAGCAGAGCCCACTCCTCCCCATGGCTGAGGGTGAAAGCACTCCATGGGAATTCCCAACACGTGGCCAATTTACTTGCTGCCTTTCAGATGGATTTTTGATGTTCTCCCCGTGGAATGATGATCCCAGACAGACACGGATCTCCAACAGAGCTCCAGCAGTGCAGCCTCCCTGCCTCCCAAATCCCAGCCTGATCCCAAAGCACACAGCTCGGCCTGTTTGCCCTCGTCTCACCATCCACGTCGTAGACCTGGAAGAGGAAGCTGAGCTTGTCCCCCTGGTCCCCGTGCACGAGCAGCCTCAGGGCCCTCAGCAGCTCCTCCAGGCTGATGGTGCCGCTGCCATCAGCATCAAACAGAGCGAAGAACCTCTCGGCAAAGAAGGACTGTGGGAGCAGGGTGGGGGCTGAGGTGATCCCACACCGTGGGATTGTGGAATGCCTGGCTTGGAAGGACCCAAAAGCTCGTCTCGTTCCACCCCCTTTCATGGGCAGGGACACCTCCCACTACACCAGGCCAAGCCAACCTGGCCTTGGGCACTTAGAGGGATCCAGGGGCGGCCACAGCTCCTCTGGGAATTTCATTCCAGTCCTTCACCACCCTCCCAGGGAAGAATGCCTTCCCATTATCCCATCTAACCCTGCGTGGGGTAAATGAGGAGACCCTTAGGGTCCTTCCATCCCAAACCACTCCAGGATTCTCCAGCTCCATGAACACCACACAGTCCCACTTTGAATCTGGATTTTCCCTCAGTCCCCTCCTGGAGCAGAGCTGGCTGCTGTCCTGTGGAAGGACCCCTCACCTCCTTCACTTGCAGGGCACTTTTGAACTCTTCCAGGCTGATTTCCTTGTCCTTCCCGGCGATGCTCCCGAACTGCTTCGTCACCCAGCGCAGCCACTCGGCATCCTCTGCCGTGCCCATGGCTCTGGACCTGCAGGAGGCAACATTCCAGGCCCTGCTTCCCTCCAAACCCACTCTGCCACTGCTCCTGCCCTGCTTCCAGAACCTTCTGCTGAGCAGAGCAGGGGCTGCTCTCTGGGAACGGGTCAGTCTGGGAAAGTGGGCTCTCCAGCCCCGGATTTCCCTAATTTTGAGAGCCCACTTTCCCAGACTGACCCATTCCCAGAGTCCTTCAGCTCCCAGGGACAGGGAGGTGCTGCTCCTCTGCCGAGCTGGGCTGGAAGGAGGGTGGTGGCAGCAAGGTTTTGGGGCTTGGGGATTCCTTTTGCCAGCAAAACCAGAGCAGGGAGATGGGAATCTTTGCTCTCTGTGAGCACTCATCCCTCTCTCCCTTTCCCTCTCCTCCCTGGATTGTCCTCTCCTCCCTCCCGGTCAGTCCCTGCCTTCCCAGCCTCTGCCCCCCCTCCATCTCCTTTTCCAGCCCCCACAATTCCTCAAATCCCCCGTGCTCTCATCAGATCCAGCAGCAGCCCCTCAGCTGTCCCAAATTCCTGCAGGATCTCGTTATCTTGGGAAAATCCTCGCGGAGCTGCCCCGTCCAACGAGCCCTTTTCCAGCTCCAAAGGTGTGACCCAACCCCTCCTGCTCACCCCAAAGGGCTCCTGGGACACCAAAGGGGCCCTGGCAGAGGGACACGGTGTTCCTGAGGCCAGCAGGCAGGGATGGACTGGATTTGGGATGTACAGCTGGCACCAGGCACGAGCTCCTGCTCACACTGCTCACTCCCAGCCCTCTCCCGCCTCATTCCCGTTGTCCCTCCTGTCCCACAATCACACACCAAGTCCCTGCTGCATCCTGCCTCTTCCAGCCGACCCCAGCTCTTGGATGTCCCTCCTGCAGCCTCCTGGAGTTCCTGTTCCTCGCCCCACCGAGCCCCCTGCCCTCGGGAAGCGCGTCCTGCCAAGCCCACAAAGCCCGGGATTCAGCGGCCCCTCCATCCCCATTCACGGCCCGTCAGGAACACACGGGGAAGTGTCTTTTCCATACTGCCACCTTTATTCCTCCCTGAACAGATCCTGCTTGTGCAGCTCCAAACTGGGACTCCTCTGGGGGAGGAGGTTGCCATGGGAATGTCAGGACCAGAAACCAGGTAGTAAAACATTCCTGCTCCGCTGCCACTGCCACGGAGCGCCGGGCAGGGAAGGCAGGAGAGGCTTCTGCAGAGGCAGAGCTGGAGCTGATCCCGGCTGGAAAACTCCCTCCCTCCCCCTGCCTGCCTGTTTATTGGGAAGTTGGCTGAGCTTTGTACCAGATTCCCCCTCTGGATGCACGGGAAGGGCAGGGATGGCTCAGCTCCCCATGGACTGCCCAGGGAGCAGGGGCTGCTCTGCCCTGACTGATCCCAGAGGATCCTGGAGTGGTTGGGGCTGGGAGGGACCTTAAACATTATCCAGGTCCTGGCTGGGCAGGGACACCTTCCACCAGCCCAGGCTGGCCTTGGACACTTCCAGGGATCCAGGGGCAGCCACAGCTTCTCTGGGAATTCTATTCCAGGGCCTCCCCACTCTCATGGACAGGAATTCCTTCCCAATGTCCCATCTCTCCCTGCCCTCTGGCACTGGGAAGCCATTCCCTGTGTCCTGTCCCTCCATCCCTTGTCCCCAGTCCCTCTCCAGCTCTCCTGGAGCCCCTTTAGGCCCTGCAAGGGGCTCTCAGGTCTCCCTGGATCCTTCTCTTCTCCAGGGGAACCCAACAATCCAAGGTCATGGAATTATTTACTGGGAAATAACGGGGAGAGTAAAAGATGAACAACCTTGGGGTGTGTGCTGGATCTGATGGACACGACCCCCTCTGTCCTCAGGGTGTTCCCACCACACTGGGGATCTAAAACAAAACAGAAATAAAGGAAAATAATAGAAATCAATAAATAGAAATCAATAAATAAAATAGAATTCAATAAATAAAATAAAAATCAATACATAAAATAAAAATCAATACATAAAATAAAAATCAATACATAAAATAGAAATCAATTGCTAATATGACTTAAAATCTGAATAGTCTCAGAACTGTCTAAATAATTCTTCCCCAGGACAACCTGGTGTCTCTCTCATGTTAAAAACACCCCCAAGCCCATCAGGAATTGAGGTCTCTGCTCCATCTCGTCCCGTAAAATAAATAAAAAAATTATCACCTTTTAATCCCACAAACTGCACTCAACAGTAATTTAATTATGTTTTAATATTTAAATTATGTGGGAAGTGGCAAAACCACCTTTAGGTTGAAATTGTAGGAAAAGTTGGCAAAAAAATCTATTTTTGAAGGATAAGCTACTACAACATTCTTAACATTTAAACTCACCTTAAATCAGGTATTTGATACTTTTCCTTCCCAGTTATTCCAGGAGCTGCTGCTCCTCCTTTGGCCTTGGGTCTCAATGGAAGGATTTTTCCCAAAATGAGGTGTCAGGGACACGGGGCCCCTTTTAAAGGTCTGAGTTGTTCCCATTAAAGCTTTTCATGTCAAACAACACAAAAAAAAAAGGGACTTCTCAGGTCCACTGAGCAGCACCTGGATGTGACACTTCTGTGATTCCCTGGTTATGGCACAAAGAGTGGCTTAGAAAGATGTTTTTTAAAATTAAATATTCAATTCAAATTTCATATTTATTAAATAAATATTAAATATTAATTTTTTGTTGCTTGATACTGAAATACTAAGATTTTGCACGTTGTGCTTCTCTGAACATAATCATGAAATTATTATAATGATTAATCATGAAATTAATTAATCATTAAGTGATTATAATTATATTTCATGGAAATATATCTAATTATTTGGTGGAAATATTAATTGGGATATTTACCACTCCTTTTTTTTTCATTATTTTTTTTTTTTTAAGAACACTCCTCAAAGCTCTCCCTCAGTCCATTCATTACCTGCTCAAGAGCCTTGTTTTGCAGCAGCAGTTGGAAGGGGCAGGGCTGGTTCCCCACCTGGGTCACTTTGGAGCGTCAGGGATGGTGGGAGTGGAGAAGGAGGAGATTTTTCTGAGCAGGAATCTCAGGAGGGGAGGGAGGAGGATCCCCCATCAGCTGTCAAACACCAACCCCAGCCTCAATCACATCAGGCCTTGCAGCTCCTGGCAGTGATGGGATTCATCATCACCATCACACTGAATTTATGAGGTTCAAATTCAGGCAAACTCCTAAAAAAAAAAACCCTGGGGTGGAAGGAGGTGAATTTATCAAAGCATTTGGCTTGGAAGGCCTGGAAAATCCCAAGTCAAAGCTCCTATTTTTAGTAAAGAGGCAACAGGACCTGTCCAAGGAAGAAATCCCAGTAGGAAGGAGTGTCCAAGGCCAGGTTGGAGGATCCTGGGCTGGTGGAAGGTGTCCCTGCCCGTGCAAGGAGGGGGAATGAGATGAGTTTTAAGGTCCCTTCCCACCCAAACCATCCCATGATTTGTGAAAATTATTCTTTCCAATACTCACAACTCATAAATTTCCTGCTCCACAAGCACCATGTGGGGGAGAAAACGGGCTCTTTCAAGCTGAAAAACGTCAAAATCCAACTTGCAAATGAACATTTTTTAACAGGATATTTCATCTGCACTTTGCCTTCCCTCCCTTTCTTCTTTGGGGGGGAGAAAATGAGAGCAGGTAGATTTGAAACATCTCCTTGGTCTGCAAGCTGGAATGCAAGGAATATGTGCCCAAAATTCCATGTTTTGGAATAGGAATTAATGTTCATTCAGGCCTGAAAGCCTCAGAGGTGGCCCTACATGATATTCTTGTATCAGTGGATAAATAGCAATAAATAAGTGTCTTTGTTAAAGGTTCCACTGGCAAGGTTTTAAATGGAATTCAGACAAGTCTTTCCACACTGGGAACCTCTTGGGAACCTCCCAGCGCTGATCCCTCATCCCAGGAATTAACGGAGCCAGAGCTGCTTTCCCCACGATTTCCTTCTCTGTTAAAGAGAATTCCAAAGCCATTTCCCATCCTCATCCTGCTTCTTAAAAGGGATTGTCCTGCTCAACTTTTCCTTCAGGAAATAAGAGGCTGAATTGGAGGTGGCTGCAGCCTGGACCCAGCTGAGGGTGATTTGATGCAGCAATTCCAGCTACAGCTCCTCATCCAGGGCCTCTGGCTAAGCAGGATCCTGGAGGAACCTCCAGCTGGGAAGTGGATTGTCCCAGTTAAACCAGAGAGAGCCTGTCAGGAATGGTTCAGTGGATGCTGGGACCAGAATGGTTACACGAGATAACGAGGAAAGAATTCCCTGGCACTTAAACACGACCTGGGAGAGTTTTCTTCACAGGCCACGGGCTCCCAGAGCACTCCCCAGCACCACGGACTCCCAGAGCATTCCCCAGCATCACAGACTCCCAGAGCACTCCCATCACCTTTGGATGCTCCGGGAAAAACATCCCCACTCTCCCCGCCACCTCTTCCCACCTCCCAGAGCCTTTTCCACCCCCTGCAAGGGGACAGAGACATGGGAAAATTCCACAGAGGGGCAAAAACCCCTCACTGGGAAAACTCAGCCATGCAAATGTCCCCCCTGCAAGGGCAGGGAAGGTGCTCCCAGGAGGATTCCTGCCCAGCAGGCTCCCTGGATTCAGCCAGAGGAGCGAGCACATCCCAGGCCCGGCTGCTCCCGGTGCCTGAGGGAAAAGGGAATGGGAGCGTTTCTATCCAAAGAGCAGCGGGAAGGAGAGCCAGGAGATGTCAGCAGCAACAACAGGAGGGGTGAAAAACATCCAAAGCCAGGCTGTGGGCACTGGGAGGGCTGGAATTCCGCAGTGAATCCGGGCTGTGCAGGCGCAGAGCTGCTCCCACCAGAGCTATTCCTGGCCCTGGGAAGGAATCCTCCAGAGGGAGGCACAAAATTGGTTAAAGGAGGGGGGGTTTTTTTGCCTCCTTTCAGCCCAATTGCATCAAAAGACCAAGGGAACACGAGCCTGGCATCATTAAAGGAGGAATTTTGGGAGGGGGAAGGAGCAAACCGAGGTTTGC